CCAGTGTCCCCTGCAGTGAGGATCTCTGGTTTTCCTCAATGCTGCTGAACCCTCCTCGGGCAAGAATCGGGGGCTAACAGTAACAAGGTCCACTTCAACTCAAGCAAAGACAGGAAAACATGGGCTCAAAAAACTCAAGCAAAGACAGGAAAACATGGGCTCCAAAACACCAAGCTCCCCAGAGAGCATCTGAACACACTGCCTGTCCCCAGCTTGCATCGACACTTCTGAAAACGTGGCCAAAAGGCCGTTTGGCATGGGAATCTGTTACGAAGCGGAAAGAAAGTCCTTTATTCACACCGCTGGCTGCTGAACAACTTACTAGTCTGCCCCAAACCTGGTTTAACAGAGAAACGCAAACAGGCAGCGCAAGGGCCCCATAACGGGACACCTCAGTGCCCCGCCTCGCCCTGGAGAGGCCTGGCCTCAGGGGATTTGGGGGTGCGGGACTCGGTCTCCCTCCTTGAGTCTCCTTTTCTGAGCAGTTTGGAGTCCAGGTCCTTGCATCTTGTAGTCCAGCAGTCTTTGCCTTCACACCGTCAGTCCTTCAAAAAGCTGTGACGGCACCCTGAGGTGGGCGGGTGGGAATCTGGGGACAGAGGCACTGGGGGAGAGGAGGGTCTCAGAGCTGTGGAGCATGTGCCGGAAACCGATGGCCACAGCTGGCCTGAGGCTGGCAGGGCGTGCGTGTCCTGCAGCTGTGGAGGATGACAGGCATCGGGGGCCCGCTCAGGCCCACTCACTCGGTGACTTCCTCTCCCCTTTGAGGTAGGGTCAGGGTGCCCCTGGCACTGTGATGAGCAGGCCTCATATGGCCAGGCCTGGGGGACATGGTGAGGACGGGGCTGAGGGCAGACCCAGGTGGCCTCCTCTCCTGCGACCGTCTGTGTCGTGGCCTTTGCAGGGCTCTGATTTTCTTCTGATCATCCTGGCATGGATGTGGGCTGGGGTGAGGCTGGCGGCCTGTGCTGTCTGGCATACCCTTCTGCCCACTGAGAAGGGAGCAGGTGCTGTCGATGGAGACGAGACCCTGGCTGCGGGGAAATGTGCGTCGGGATGGAGGCGCTGTGCAGGGCAGGACGGCAGGTCGGCTGTGTGCCAGGCCCCCGTCACGCTCCGTCCAAGCCAGGATGGGCCCAGCATGTTGTTTTCTATGCACCTGGTTTCTTTTCAAAGCTGCTCCCTCCATTCCCAGCTGTCCTTGAGGTGGGTCCTCGTGGGCCCCCCATTCTGTCCTGGTCCCACCTCTGTGGGCCTTTCTGGTTCTGTGAAGGCCCCTCCCCGCCAGCTTGTGGAGACCTCTGTTCTCTCTGGAGGGTGGCATCTGTGCCCCGGAGCCACCTCCCTGCTCACCTTGGCCTGGTGGTCCCCTCTGTCTCCTCCATCCCCTCCATCTCCTCTGTCCCCTCGTCCCGGTGCTGTCCGGGGCTCTCTAGTGAGGGTGGGTCTGTTGTCCTCCCCAGGATGGGCCTGCAGGACCCCTGCCGTGGACACCTCCTGGGGTCTTACCTGCGCAGTATCTGAGGCCTTTTGCAGGAGAAGCCTCTGGGTTTGACTGATGGAAGTGTTCGCTGTTCTCAGAGAGAAAACGATGAGGAGATGAAGGCTGCCAAAGAGAAGCTGAAGTACTGGCAGCGGCTGCGGCACGACCTGGAGCGCGCCCGCCTGCTGATCGAGCTGCTGCGCAAGCGGGAGAAGCTCAAGCGTGAGCAGGTGGGGCTGGGCCCATCCCGCATGGAGTGCACCACTGGCCATGGGGTGTGGGTAGGACCATCCTGCATGGAGTGCACCACTGGCCATGGGGTGTGGGTGGGTCTGTCCCGCATGGAGTGCACCTCTGGCCAATGGGTGTGATAGGGCATCCTGGTCATGGAGTGGTGCACCACTGCGCATGGGGTGCTGGTGGCTCTGTTCCCGGCGGTGGAGTGCCACTTGGCCATGGCGTTGATGACGCATCCTGCAGTGGATGTGCACTGCCACCTGGCCATGGGTGGTGGGACCGGTCTGCATGGAGTGCCAGCCATGGCTTATGGGGTGTGGGGGGTCGCCTCCGCATGGAGTGCCATCCTCTGGGCCATGGTGGGTAGGTGGTGGCGATGCGGCAGCCTCCTGCCAGAGGGTGGCTGACCTGTGGTTCCTGGCCCACGGCGTGGCGATTTGGCTCAGCCCAGGCCGGGTGCGCTGGCTGCCATGGCGAGGCCCTAGTGCGAGGCGTGCACTTGACCCCTCCTTGACCGAGCCCGGACCTTTTTTTTTTCTTTTGTGGGCGGTCGCGTGTGGGCTGCGTGTGGCTCCTCAAAGCTGGGGCTCGCATGGGCCAATCGGGTGAAGTGGAGCAGGGTTGCCATGGGCTGGCGGCTGACCCGTCCCAGCCTGCGGTGCTGCTTGGCGTTCGAGTTGCCTGCGCACCAGCGTGCCGGACAGGACCCTGCCAGGTATTTGCGGCGGCCGCTGTGAGGTCTGAAGGAGGTGGGTGTTTGCGGGCGTCGTCTGTCCTGGCCGACGTGTGAGCTGTGGTGCTGCTGCTGCTTCTGACTGGGGACGTGGTGATGGCGTAGTGTCGTTCGCTTGTGTTCTTTTTTTTCTTTTTTTTTTGAGCGGTCCTTGCTTTGTCGCCCCAGGTCTTGGAGTTGTAGGTGGCCCGATCTCGGCTCACCTGCAAGCCCCGCCTCCAGGTTCACAGCCATTCTCTCCTCGCCCTGCCCGAGTAGCCTGGGCCACGGCGCCCGCCACGTCGCCCCGGCCTAGTTTTTTTGTATTTTTCAGTAGAGCGCGGGGTTTCACGCGGCTTAGCCAGGATGGTCTCGATCTCCTGACCTCGTGATCCGCCCGTCTCGGCCTCCCAAAGTGCTGGGATTACAGGCTTGAGCCACCGCGCCCGGCCCGTCCCTTGTGTTCTTAATTCTCGTTTTTATTTAACATATTTGTTCTTAAATGATAAAAGTGATGCATTTCACTGTAAAATATTGAAAGTGCAGTGGGTGAGAGGCCCTGTGCAGACAGTACCCTGAGCTGTGGCGGCATGCACCCGGCACCCTCCAGTGCACTTTAGCTGAAGGAGCTGGGGTCGGGAAGGTCCCTGCAGTACTTGGGTCTTGTGTCTGTACCGTGTGTGTGTGTGCGAGGCTCTCAGATAGGATGGGCTTGTGGGTTCTATGGAATAATAAATACAGAGTAAACTAATATCCTGTTTTAGTTTGTAAATGATTCTTTTTCCTTCCTAAAATTAGGTACCAGATTATTTGGATCACATTAAACAGCCCATGGACTTTGCCACGATGAGGAAACGGTTAGAAGCTCAAGGGTATAAAAACCTCCATGAGTTTGAGGAGGATTTTGATCTCATTATAGATAACTGCATGAAGTACAATGCCAGGGACACCGTGTTCTATAGAGCCGCGGTGAGGCTGCGTGATCAGGGAGGTGTTGTTCTGAGGCAGGCCCGGCGCGAGGTGGACAGCATCGGCTTGGAGGAGGCCTCGGGGATGCACCTGGCTGAGCGGCCTGCTGTGGCGCCGCGGCGGCCTTTCTCCTGGGAAGACGGTAAGAACTGGCGCTGTGTCCGGAGGAGCTGGAAGACGCTCTTTCTAGCAGACTCTGTCCTGCTCTGTGTTGCCAGCTCCATATCAGCACGGTCCGGGAGGACTTGCACGCAACCGCATACATCATTTACATTTTCTAGTAGCCTCACTGGAAAATGGAAAAAAAGCAGGTGGAATTTATTTTAATAATGTATCTTATTTTACTCAGTATATGGAAGAGTTGATTTCAACATGGGATCAGTGTAAACGTTACTGAGGATATATAAGCTTTCTTTGCCATCTGATGTGTATTTTACACTCAGCACCTGTCACTTCAGACTGGCTGTGTTTTGGGTGCCCACCAGGAGGACCCATGTGGCTGTGGCTCCCTACGGGGTGGCCGGTCTCGATGATGCAGACCCAGAAAGCAGCTTAGTTGGGGGTTTGCATCCAGAGTGGGCCTCTAGGAGTGGATAACTTCCGAGGGTGGCGTGAAGCCGGAGGAGCTCTGGCTTTGCCTCCGGCCCTTTAACTTCGTGGTTTGCGCATGTTGTAGAAAGGGCTCTAGGAGCATGTTCACGGCCCACCTGGACCTCCAGCCAGGGCCTGCGCTTCTCGGTTGCCCAGGCACGTGCTGCAGCCGTGTGCAGTCACCTGCACCCTTCTCTAGACCGGTCCTCGGAAACCACGGGTGTCCCCTGCACCCTGCTTGTTGATTGCACCTCCGGGATTGTCTGCCGAAGGGTGTGTCCTGCCCACATGGGTTGTCAGAGCACCTAGAGCTCCTGCACCTCAGCTCCAGCTCTGAGCCACAAACTGAGCAGAAATCATGGTGTGTTTGGCTCATTTATCAAAAGGTCCCATATCCCTGATTTCTTGGCCTACCCTTTCTCCTGATGAATCACTGACCCGTGCCAGGTTGCTTCTTCTGGGATGAGGCCTGGCCCTCTTTCTCTCCTCCATGTTCCTGCCATCGTGGGGTTCAGCCAAGCTGGGCCATTGTTGCTTCACCGTCCGTTCCCCTCATGGCAACAGTGCTGGCTCCCTGCTTCCCGTGGGGTCCCGCAGCACTTGACACCTGTGAGCGTTGGAGGATGGGCTGTACTCTTTTAAAGCATGGGAATAGGGCCAGGCTCTGTGGCTCATGCCTGTAATCCCAGCACTTTGGGAGGCCGACAGGTGGATTCACTTGAGGTTGGGAGATCGAGACCAGCCTGGCCAACATGGAGAAACCCCATTTCCACTACCAATACAAAAAATTAGCCGGGCGTGGTGGCGCGTGCCTGTAATCCCAGCTACTTCAGAGGCTGAGGCAGGAGAATCACTTGAACGTGGAAGGCGGAGGCTGCAGTGAGCGGAGATTGTGCCATTGCACTCCAGCCTGGGTGATGGAGTGAGACCCTGTCTCCAAAAAAAAAAAAGAAAAGGAGGCCGAGGCGGGTGGATCACGAAGTCAGGAGATTGAGACCATCCTGGCTAACACGGCGAAACCCCGTCTCTACTAAAAATACAAAAACAAAATTAGCCAGGCGGCGTGGCGGGCGCCTATAGTCCCAGCCACTCGGGAGGCTGAGGCAGGAGAATGGTGTGAACCTAGGAGGTGGAGCTTTCAGTGAGCCTAGATTGTGCCATTGCACTCCAGCCTGGGTGACAGAGCGAGACTCCGTCTCGAAGAAAAAACAGAATGGGATTATATTTTTATGCTTTGTCTCTGATTTTAAGAGTAACACGTTTTTCTTGGAGAAATTTAGAAAATAAACACAAGCTCCAAACAATGCTGCTGACTCTTGGTGAACCCTGGTGGAGCTTTAACCCCTCCCTGAAGCTGCACTCTCCAGGCTGATCAGACCAGCTATCGTTTTCCGAAACGTTCCCTTGAGGATCTGAGAGGAGCTGGGGCTGAGCCGCCTCAGAGTGAGCCCAGGGCTCATGCTTGTCCTGGAAGGCCCTTCTCTAGCCTCTGGTGACCATGGGAAAGCTTCCCCCTGCCCCCCACAGCCTTCACGCTCTAGCTTGGATGCCTTGCCTGCCATCAGCTGTCAGACGCCCACCTGGTGCCCGGTGGTGGCCATTCAGGATGCATGCTGGTTGCCTGCCCTTAAAAGCAGGAAGACGCATCACTCTTGGACTCCCTGTCTTCTGAGCAGCCTGGAGCGTCCTTTGCCCCTAGGGCCCTGCTCCTGTGCTCCCCCACATCGTGCTCCCAGCACCACGCCACCTCCCTCGAATGGAGCGGTGTGGAGGTCTCTGAGTGTCAGCGTCTTTCAGATCATGGTCATGCAAGTTGTTAAGTGAATTTCTACACTCGGGTTTTTTTTGCTAAGGAGAAAATGAAGGATGAGAAGTCCTAGTTTCCTTCTTTCTCAGTATTTCAGAGTGCACAGGTGAGCCAGTGGCCACGGTGTACCTTGAGGGCGCACCTGCTGCCCTTCTCAGCACAGCCGACACCTCCCACTGCCTGGAGCCCTAGCCACAGACCTGGAGGCCGTGGGTCTCTTGTTTTAAAAGAAACGGAGGTTTCGAGGCTTTCTTCTTGGGGTTTCAAAGGATGTGTTTTTTTGTATGAACATTTTTGAGTATTATCTATGACATTTGTTCAAAGTGATGTTATGGATACAAGTCTTGAAGGAGTAATGATTTAAGCATTTTGTTTCTGCTACTGCTTTACTTATTCAGTCAAAAAGACAGATGCTTTCAGTAAACCACCTGTGTTTAGATGAAGAGAATCCACGTGTTTTGGGCAGTCTTACTTTGTTTTCTGTCCTCTCTCCTCGCTCTGATTTTATCTTCAGACAGCTCTGGGGAGCAGTTTCTTTTCTTGGCCACCTCTTACTTAAGGTAATTTGTGCTTTATACATTTTGGTGTTTTTGAAAGTGAAGTTTTTAGGGACTTTGTAGTAAATACGTCTGAAATTCAGAATGATCTGTGAATTTTACAGCCCATTTAATAAAGCCACATAGTGATCAGCATCTGAATCCTTCAGCTGAGACACCGCTCAGGACATGCCGTGGCCCTAACTTAACACATTTGCCAGTCGTCACCTCTGTTTGCAGAGCCAGTGCAGGTCCATCTGAGTTGTGCTGGGTTGGTGGAGCGTGCGCCTCTCTCTGGGGTCTGTGTGCTGTGCCCTCATCCAGCCAGCCGGGCTCTCTCTGGGGTCTGTGTGCTGTGCCCTCATCCAGCCAGCCGGGCTCTCTCACCTCTCCAGGAGACCCCCATCTTCTCTGAGGGATGCAGACCCGCCACGTCACCTTGGAGTGGACTCCTTCCAGGCCGCTTTGCTTCTCCACCCACTTCACTTCGGCTCACAGAAATGCCTTTCATCAATTGGAGTCACCGTGAACATCGGGTTGTAACCAGGTGATTCCAAGGCCAACCTGTGTCTCAGTCACACTGTATGTGTTTTCTTGTACGAATGACCCCGAAAAAACTAATTAAAAATAAAATGGACTCAGCAGCTACAAAGCAACAAAAAATGGCCCAGGCTCCTGCTAACGCTTGGGGGTAGGGGCCACCTCACCACAGGGAGGCCAAGCGCTCCAACTGTAGCAAGGTCCTCAGCCTCTGCGCGACCAATAACCCGTGCGGGGTCCTCAGTCCTGCGACGCAAATGGCATGGAGGAAGCCCACTGATTAAAAAAAACTAAAAATAAACTTACTGCTCACAGTGAAAATGCTACAACTGTGTGGGAAGAGAAGCGCTGGAAGCATATTTTGAGACTGGTAGGAATGCTGGCAACCCTCCTCACAACTCAGTCCTCAGGACAGCGGTCAAGGACGGAAGGGCGTCCACCTCAGCCGGAGGCGCAACAGCCTCCAGTGAGCTGAGTGAAAGCAAAGGCTGCGGGACCAGGCACCAACCCTGGACTCCTGGGACAACGGGGCAGCCCGGCAGACCTGTGGCCCCAGGGTCTCAGGCAAACGTTCCCAGAAAACCACGAGCCCCAAAGCAGACGAGGGATCAGGTGCTAACAGTAAAGCCTTTGAGAGAACAGAAAAGTCAAGCGCCTCA